ATGATGTTATAACCCGTATTAAGATTGTTTGGAACTACTGGTGATGTTATAACCCGTATTAAGATTGTTTGGAACTACTGGTGATGTTATAACCCGTATTAAGATTGTTTGGGACTACTGGTGATGTTATAACCCGTATTAAGATTGTTTGGAACTCCTACTGACAATATAAACCCTATCAAGATTTCTTGACGACAAGATACAATCTATCCAGAATTATTATTTTGTTGATGACAGGAAAACCCTTACATAGATAATATGTAATTCCAGAATGTATAATAACATCTATTCTGCTTTTTTAAACTCCTGGTGACATTATAAACGTAATTCGGGTTGTTTGGAAATCTCGGTGACATTATACACCCTATCCAGAATGTTCGGAGTTTCGGGTATTATTATAAACTGTTTCAAAACTGTTTGGAACTCATAGTGGTACTGTAAACCATATCTAGTTATTTGTAATTTCTGGTGATATTATTAAACCTTATCCAAAGTTTTTGGAATTTCTCGGTGGCAAAACAAATCCTTCATATACTACTTGAAACTCCTGATTACATTACAGATTCTACTCCGTTTCTTTGAACATCTTGTAACATTATAATATTTTTCCAGATTGTTGGAACTCATAATGGATTGCATTATAAACTCCATCCAGAATTGTTTGATTTTCTTCGTAACAATACGAAATTTTATTGGGCTTGTTTGGAACACCTGGTGATATCACAGGTCCTTTCCAAGCACTTTAGTACTCCTGATGAATATAAATCGTATCCAGACTGTTTTATATTCTCAGTGACATTATAACCATATCCAGATTACTTGGATCTTATGGTAACATTCTAAACCCTACCCAGATTACTTGGATCTTATGGTAACATTCTAAACCCTACCCAGGTTACTTGGATCTTATGGTCACATTCTAAACGTTATCTAGATTATTTATATCTTATGGTAACATTTTAAACCTTATCTAGATTATTTAGATCTTATGGTAACATTTTAAACAATATCCAGATTACTTGGATCTTATGGTGACATTATAACCATATCCATATTATATGAATATTATGGTAACATTCTAAACCTTACCCAGGTTACTTGGATTTCTTTGTGATAATATCAACCCTACTCACATTTTTTAAAACTCTGGGTAACATAATAAACCCGATCAAATTGCTTGGACTGTCTGGAGGTATTATAAGTCCTATCTTATGATGCCATTAAAACTCCTATCAAGATTTTATAGATTTTTTAAAAGTCAAGGAAAATTCTGCATAGATTCCGTGAAACCCTGATTACAGTATATCTTCTACACTGTTCGGGTGGACACCTGATGACATTATAAACGTTAAGTAATATCTGAGTAATACCTAATGTTATTAAAACTTTACCCAGGCTTTTTTGGTACTCTAGATTATACTTGAAAACATTTTTATGTATTTCGTGGTCATATTATAATTTCTGTAAAAAATAGTTTGGAATGATTATTATCTGTGACATGATAAAATATGTAGGTAAAGTAAAATTGGTTGTAATAGTATAAATCCTATTCAATGTATTCAAAACTATTATTTAATGAAGACAACAAACAACTTCAGAAAATGTTTATTAACTTGTACCCGACGTTTCTGCTTACGCCTTTATTAGGGGTCTAAGAACGTCACAGGTTACCAAACTGATTTTAAAATGACAGTAACCGAAAACTAAATACAGCTACAACAATATAACGGAAAAGTGTACGTGATACGAGAGTAGTCGAACAGTTTTGTGTCGTTGATCATAAAAATAGAGAAAAAGAAAATAATAACATAAAAACAGATAAAATCATAATGATAAAATTAATAATAATAATAAAATGTTAAAGGGGCCAGGCATTGTACCTCTATTTTTATGATCAACGACACAAAACTGTTCGACTATACTCGTATTACGTTTCACGTACACTCTTCCGTTATATTGTTGTAGTTGTGTTTCGTTTTCGGTTAGTGTCAT